TATCAGCAGTAATATAATCGTCTTTGATGGAGATCGGTCGTCTGGCGCGCTCCATCATATTAATATTATACGCTCTACCTTCTACTTGAGTACTTATACCTATATTTACATTATACACATCATACACGGTAAGTCGGTAAGTATATGTACATTAAAGGAATGCGTGCGGTTGTGCCACGTTTATCAGGGATATARTATAATATCGTTTTAATTATATGATATAAATAATAATATATAATTTATCATCGGAGACGAAAAATAAACACCGTAGACCAAAAATCTCGGACCGAAGGTCACGGACACGCGAGTGTGTTCTCGACTGCATTGTATATAATATTTTTATTATTTTTATTATTTCATGTACAATACACGATATCGGTTATTCATGTGTATATTTTGTGTATGTATAGTGCGTGACGATTGTCGCAACGCAAACAAACGATTTGCGTTTCCAAAATATTGACAAAATTATAATAATACATAAGTATATTATTCGCCGTCTACAGCTCTTGGATCGACATTGAAAATGCAAAATATTACTTTCCTGGCGCGTGCAACCGAGGACGTTTCAAGATGACGAGAACACAAATAACTGACGTTAAACAAATTTCGATTAAAAACTGTTAAAACATTGCCTTGCCATGACAAAATCGGTCCGTGTTCCGACTAACAAAACTTAATTATTTAAAATAATAATTTGATAATATTTTACAGTTTAACACGTCTTAGTTGTTTGAAAAAAAGAGACAAATCGCGAGCAAAAATCATAATTTATAGTTCATAAATTAAAAATTAAACTAATTAGTAATAACTGACTTGAAAATATATGTTCATAACAATGCATGAAGGTCGATCGACTATTAGTTACAGCTCATCGTGAGATTGGTGTTACGTGCAGTGACGTAGGGTATAATTTGCTCGATCTTCTTATCGATTAATTTTTTTWAAATGTTTTAAAATTTGATTTGTAATATTAGAGGAAAGTTCATAGAATAAAATTGTATATTACAGTATTGTCAAATTGACCACTTTACCTATAAATTAGTTTGACTAGGAACTGGCGTTTGATCTCGGTGTTGCAAAGCAGCTAAAATAGAAACCTTCTGTTGGAAGAAAATCGGAAATATAAAATATTTTATCATGATCTTTATAATTTATATGCAACTAATTATATAAGTACCTCGAAAATTTGAAGGGACCACGTAGGTTGGCCGCGTTGTTCGATAGCTTTTACAAAACTAAAAATAAATATATTAGAAATTAATTTTGTGCGCATTAACCGATGACGTACTAAACGTTTTAGAATATATTATTATTTACAAACAAACCAATCTCGTCAATCGGAAAACTAAACCGGACGTTTTGGGAAAGGTCAACCGCGCTCGAGTTCTTAAACATAATAATAACAACAATAATGACAATAATAATAATAATAATAATAATAATAATAATAATGATAATAATAATATAATGTGTACTTATATAGTTTAGGAGACGGTCCGCGGGCGAGAACACGCATAGGTTATTTTTTTTTGTGTCGTGGGGCTGGGGAGGGGGTGGGCAAGACGTAATCGCCACCGGACGATCTTGAGAAAAACGACTGGTCTTTCTCGCCCCACCGCGCTCGCTTTTATGTATTACTGCTCTCGCGAGAGGGCGGGCGGCGGTGGGCTTATAATTATTATTACCGTGTCCTCCATGACTGCTCGTAAGTACGTGAGTGTGTGTGTGTGTGTGTACAAAAGACCTTTATTACACGTCGCGCGCACGTGTGTGTGTGCGTTTTGTTTCCCATCAATGACCAGCATCCGTCGCCATCTTTGATCACCACACACACACATCCACACACAGAGGAGACTATAATATATAATATTATGTAGGAGTAGTATACCTTGGGAAAAATCCCGGCCGCCTGCATACGCAATTATCGTGCCCAGACCAAYTCGCGAGTACAAACACGATAATATTATATTATTTTATACACATTATACGAACGACGTCGTCTGCATGCGTGCTCGCCTTGTACGGTTCACCGGTCCTGTAACCACACACACGAGGTTCTGTGAGATTATTATTATTATACGCGCGTGTATTTTGTTGTTTTCCTTCCTCTCTTATTTATATTCTTGCGTATGTGTGTTACGATATTATTGTACGGACGCGACTTAGCGCGGAACGCGATAATAATAATTACTCGTTCATCTTTGAAAATATTATAATTTGAGGCGAAAACATCGTTCCCGGAAGACCTAGAGAAACATCGAAGAATAATACACAATTATATTAATACATATATGTGTGTGTATAATGTCTCACGAAAAACATCAAACACTATAACTACGCTAATTTTCCTATCCATTAYTTGGATTTTTTTTTAGAGTATTTATATTAAAATAGGGCTCAAAAGTTATTCGCTCATCCAGACTAAAAATTATTTAATTCTAACCACTAACTTATTGTTTAATACCTGCAGATATTAAATAATTAATAATTCAGTTTCAGAAAACCATATTCTGCTTCCGATATAATTATATACAAAATTAGCTATTGTTATATGTTATTAAAAATTTAAAAGACACTATATTATAAACCACATTGACAACAAAATGGATAAATAATGATTATTTTCTAAAAAAAAATTAACTATGAAAACTAGCGTAATAAGTTCCTTTTGACTATAGTAAAGTGGATCGTCACTTATGTATACAATATGTAAAATGAAAAGTGTTTTAACGATTTAACAATGTCACAAGATAACAATATGTCGATAACATTACGCACGCGTTGGATTATTAGCGCCGCCGATCGGCTTTTTGCCACCACACCGCTATTTAATAATAACAATAACAAATGTGAAGCTGTCGTTAAATTATTGTTGTGTTCCATAAACACACGCCGTATCTATGGGGGTGACTACATCCCCCTCGATGACGACGCCGTCGAAAAGGGCGCCGCGGACTCGTAACAACATTAATGTTTGTGTATACACACACCCTCGCTCGTTTTTTCCCGTGACTTACCTGTGCGGGCCATAAAAAAAATAATGAAAAACTCAGCACAATTCGATTTGCCTCCGTTGCAGCAGGCCGAATGATATAATTAATGTAATTGGATCGAAAGMTACGGTTCGTGATTATTATTACTAATATACACCCCGACCGACCGTCATCGGCCAAACAGATTTTTCCAACACCTCATAATATACTAACCTATATTGTTTATTATTATGCAATAGTAACAGTGTTCGGTAATGACAAAAGTTTGATTTACGACGATTTTTAATCCTTTTACACATAGACAAGTACTTTTTCGTCGACATGAATAATAATATCCAACAACTACCAAACTACGAAAACTGAATTTTGAACATTGCAGTAAAAACGTGTTTGGTCTTGCAAACGTTATACGCGTGACAGCTTATATTTTCCCACAGTAAGATATTTTCCAATTGACTTAAAAGGATGAGTAGGCGGTATACGCGAAAAATATTAAAAAATTAAATTGACGTAACCAAAGCCATGGGCGGTAATCAACCATATGATAAGCATATGGTCTCCTAACCCCGCCGATTAAAGTAATTGAAAAGTATATGCGTGTGTTTTTATTAAAGAGCGTTTAATRCGATATAGTGACTAAGGTAACGGCGACAACACAATCGGACAGCAGGCAGCAGCGTCCCTCGGGGAGATATGAAATTCCAAACCGGACTCGTGGCGGCCGTCGCATCCCCCGACGACGCGTGGTGTTATTATATTATTATTATTACTATTATTATTATATTGTTATATTGGCGGGGCGCTCGTGCGCTGGTTTAGGCGCCGCCAGTGCATTATTGTTATTAAAAGATTATTGTTGTTCGATTTGTGCTGGGGGAGGAGGATGCAGCCCTCGCGGCGGCGGACCCCAAGCCGGTGTGTCAAAGGCCAACGACGTCAGCGCACACCCGCTCGACGTGTTGGCAGCTACATAATATATTATATTTGCTTCGATTCCTTCCCCCCTTACACTTTAATATACATTCGAATGGTCCCGGGTCCATCATTATCATATCGTCATTGTGGTGTCGATCGTTATGATTATTATATTATATACTATTATTATAATATATTATATCATTATATATAATATGGTCGATTACTACAAGTGTACAACTGCAGCGCGTATTACGTGTAATAACCGCACCGAACGGCCGATTAATTCACTCAATTTGTATGTGTATCTCGTCATCGGAGAGGTGAGTGAGCGACGGACTTAAATCCCGCTGTTTTTGTCACGACTATCGATCGGCAAGCATATCCATCCGGCTGTACCTATATTATAGTAATATTATAGTATAATATAGAACCGATAATATTTTAGCTTCCGTTTTTTGTTTTGCCCAYATGCAAACACCTGCTGGTGGTTGTTTCGTATGCCACTTCTCTTGTGTGTGTGTTTGTGCACATAGATCATATATAGGTAACATTTATATTGCACATGTGTGTGTGTGTGCGTGTGTGCGTGCGTAATTTTGTATATACAATATTACAATAATCGCACCTTGTCGTCATACACACGCCACGCGTATCATACATTTTTTAAATATACGTATGACGACGAATGAAYTCGAACGGGTCGACCTTTCTTCTCTCTCGCCCGCACACACACACACACCGACGAATTGGTACGCCGTGTTGTCTGTGTGTGCGTGTGTACATCACAAGGGCGGTTGAACTTTTGTTACTATAATATATAAACGCTCGTTGCCATGCTGACCGAATGTATCGCCCGAACGGCCCRCGTCGACGTTCTCTTCCTCCTCTTCTTAACCACGTTTGCATATTATATATATTTCGTTCTCTTGTCAAATCGATTTACACACCCGCTGGCCACGACGCGCCCGCCAGCGTTTGACTGCTCGTCTCAGCTTTTTAAAAAAAATGTCCATACCAACATCATTCCACGACTCGTCCGTTGTATTTAATATATCATTATAAGAGTATTATTCGCATCTGTTTCAGGTCTGAAATGTCATCGGAAATGTTGCGCGTAGATAATCTGCGACAAAGGTTGTTCTGCAATTCCGTCTTGGACACGAAAAGGGAAAGCCGGTGTCCCGTGTGCAACGCCATGTTTTCGACTACGTACAGTATGCGTCTGCACTTGCAGACCGTCCACATGGACTTGAAACCACAAAACCTGACCGCTAAAACGTTTTATCGCGAGTTCAATAACAACAACAGCATAAACAACAATAACAACAACAACAACAACAACAACAATAACAGTAGTAATAACAACAACAATAATAACAGCGCGGCATTCACCGCAAAGTCACCGGCGAAAACGGCTTCGTTCAACAACAGCCCGGAACTCGCCCACGTCACACCGGTCAAGTCTTCGTACAACGGTGACTCGACGTGCAGCACGGACTTTAGCGATGGATATCCGTCCGACAAGGACTCGTATTTCGGGGGCTCGCCCAAGGAAGAGATCCCTCTGTCCGTGGCCGGTGGTGGTTTTATGTCACACTCGCCGGCCAACAAGCGGGGCAGCAACGGTCACATGAAAGCCAAGCGCACGTACGCGTGCAGGCTGTGCTCGACCGTGTTCGGTAACCTTCGAGCGCTCAAGGGCCACAACTCGTCCAGCCACAACAAGTCCACCAATGGCATGTACGCGTGCAATATATGCGAGTTCGCAAGCACTGAAAAGGCGTCGCTGAACCACCACATGAAGGGCCACACGGGCGAGACGCCGTACGTGTGCAAAAAGTGTTCGTATGCGTTCACCACAAAAGCCAACTGCGAACGGCACCTGCGCACCATACACAAGGCATCCAACGCCGAGGTGAAGGCATCGATTCTGTTCAAGAACGAAGAAAAACCGATTGGGTCGGCACAGTCGACCAATGACGATGCGACCGCCGACAAGAGCGAAGAACTGTACCACCACCTGCGCTTGCAGCACCACAATCAGACGACGACGGACTATTCCCAGTACGAATCGTYCGGGCAAAAGAGCTCGGAGGACGACGAGGACGAGTACGACGAGCCGCTGGACCTGAGCATGAAGCGTTTCAAACAGGACTTGGAATGCGAGCCGCAAGATTTGTCCATCAACAACAAGAGTTCGTCGTCATCCGCCGCCGCCGCCGTCGTAGCCAGTGATCTCACGGACGAGGAGGACGCCAAACAGACCGCGACGATGGCGTTCCGCGAGCAATTCGTGCCGCACGCCCCGCCCGGTTTCATGGACCTGTCGTTACCCACGCCTTTGCACGCGTATTTCCTCAACGAGCACCGCATGTTCTTCAACGGGATGTACCCGGCCGCAGAACGCATGTTACCCATACCACTAACCGTCGACATGATTCGCGCAATGCGGCAGATGAACGAACCGGTGGTCGTCCCGGCACAAGAGTCGGCAGACACCGTTGTACCGCCAAAGCCGGAGACCCCCGAGCCCGCTGCCTTGCCGCCTCCGCCACCGGCACCAACGTCCGTGGACGTTGCGCAGAAACCAAACAAGGACAGCAACGGGTTGCGGTTGGTGATGAAAAACGGTATTTTGGTGCCCAAGCAGAGACGGTTCAGGACGGACAGGCCTCATGTCTGCGAGACGTGCAAACGTGCGTTCACGTTGAAATCCAACCGCGACCGACACGTAAAAAACCAACACCCGACCGATTGGCACAAGAAACCCAGGTCGTTGTCGTCCAAGTCAGAACCACAGTTCTCGGCCGTCAAACAAGAACAGCAGGACACGTCGCCGATATCGGATCAAGTGAAAATGGCCTTGTCGCTAAAATGTCGGCCGTCAGAACAGCTGCTGCGCACCGAAGAGGAAGTGGACGAGGAAGAAGAAGATGACGACGTAGTGGAGGAGGAGGACAAACTCGTCATAGTAGAAGACGGCGTTGAGCAAAACAAACCCGCCGGGGTCAAAGAAAAGTGCGCAGAGGTCAAAGAGGAATCCGCCGATCTGGTCAGTGTCTCCAGACTGCTGGACAACGCTTCGCACCAGACATTTCCGCAGTTCACCAGATCCGACGAGGACCACAACGAGGTGACAAGCAGTGAAGAAGAACACAGCGAGGCTGCTAGTTATTCCGAAAACGACGGTTCTAGGTAAGTTAAAAAAACGAATTGAAAAAAAAAACTTCAATAAGATCGCTGATGTGTACATATAATGTGCATGCTGCAGTGACGGAGTTTAAATAATTTACTAACAATTTTTTTTTTTGTTAAACTATTGACTGACATTTTAATTTTTCAACTTTTTGTTTTTTTTTTTTCCTGACAGTATCAACGCCGTCAACAACAACATAGACATAAATTTCAACACTGACAAGGACGAGAACAGGGAGAAGCGGAAGAAGGTCAGTGCTTACGCGGCCGCGCCCAACAGAGTGTTGTGCCCGTTCTGTTACCTGTCGTTCCCGTGGACTTCATCACTGAAAAGACACATTCGCACGCACACGGGCGAAAAACCGTACCAGTGCAAACACTGTCCGCTGTCGTTCTCGACCAAGTCAAACCGCGACCGACACATCCTGCGCCTGCATTGCACTCCGCCMAGCAAGTCGGCCGCGTCGTCCGACAACGAGACGACCGCCGTGGCGCCGACCGACGCCAAGAACGCGTACAAATGCACTTCGTGCCCGAACGTGACRTTTTCCAAGCGGAAGAACCTGATCAGCCACATCAATCGGGTGCACTTTGACAAGAACGGCGGCGGCGCGGGAGAGGATGACGAACGAGGCGGTGACGGCACCGAGGACGACGGTGGYGAGTCGGAACGCGACTACTCGATGACCATGTTCAACGGATGGTGCGGCAACAACGCGGCCACTGCGACCACCACCACGGCCAACACCACAACCCCGACATCAGCCACCGCCGCCGCCACCAATACCACCCCGTCCAACACGGTCACCGGATCCGAACCGTGTTTCAAGTGTCATCTGTGCGACAGCAGCTACCTGGACAGGCAGGGCGCTCTGGACCACATCCGGATTGACCACGCAGAGTGTTACGAGATACTGGTATCGCAGGGAGCCATGGACAACGACCATGACTCGTCGGCCGTCAAACAAGACGACGTGGAAAACAGGAAGGTTGGTTGCACTCCGTATACTATCGTTTTATGTTGATTATGATATTATTATTAGTGATTTCAATTAAAAAAATTACAATTCAATAAACCAACATGCACGTTTGTTTTTATCTGGATTTATAGTTATTGTAGTTCTATCGTTTCCATCGCGCTTTATTGTTGACCTTTTTTTTTTTACTATTTCATAATTATTCAATTTATTGTTTTACTAATTCAATTTTTTCACGATTCTAAATAATTATAAAAAGTACTTGATAAAAAAAAATTAAATTGATTTCTGTTTATTTAGAATCAAAATTCCGCAAGCAATGTATGTATTTAAATATAGATACGATATTACATAATACTTTTTATAAATAATAACAATATTTAATTTATTTAGCAAAACAAATAATTATATACAACGATATATCATTTTGCAACTCCCCTTTAAGCATAATGCTTAAATAAATGTAAATAAATTATTATTATTATAGTAAACAAACTTAATTATTTATTACAGTTGATCTAATCAGATCAGATTTCTCTTTTAATATTTCTGAATTMAAATTTTGTGTTTTTGAATAAAAATTACACTAAAAGTTACATGTTCGCTACTCGCTCYAATAGGCTAAACTTCAAATGATGAATATTATCAATGAAAACTATTTATTCAATGTCCGATTTGGGCATGGCATTTTTCAGAAGACTTTTCTGCTTCRGATTTGAAAATCAATATTACTTCTTTTCAGCAATTTCTTTACAATCATAATATAATATTGTTATAATATATTGAGTTATTTAATATGTAGGTACAGTAGGTACACGCATACGCTGTAACTGATACTATAAATTTTTTTTTTTTTTTTTTGTTTCCGTTTCTCAGGTGCTTTGCGCGTTCTGTCTGCACCGTTTCTACTCGGCCGAGGACCTGCGCCGGCACATGCGCACCCACACCAAGGAACAGCCGTTCGCGTGCATGTCGTGCAAGCGCCGGTTCACGTTGAAGCACAGCATGGTCCGGCACATAGCCAAAAAGCACGGCGGTTGCCAAGACCAGCAGTACGGGGCCGGCGGCGCTGGGGCAGGTAGCGACCACGAACGAAGGTCGGCCAGTCCTCCGAGCACGCCTCCGCCGAACGGTTCGGTCAACGGTTACGACGACTGCTGCGGCAGCCGGACCGACACGGGCCTGATCGGCACGCTGCTCGGCATCCGCGACAGCACCGTCATCGATCAGGTGTTGCAGACAAAGTCGCCCGAAGACGCGGCCAAAATGCTGGGAATCAAAAGCAGCTGCAGCGACTAGAGGCCGTGGTGGTCGGTCCACTTGTGTATGATGATTTTGTCAATAATTTTACACACATAATATTACTATTATAATTATTATGAACCAATACCTATGCATAGAGAGAGAGAGAGAGAGAGAGAGAGTGAGAGAGAGCGTGTGTGTCGTCGACGGTAGACGACGACTATAATATCATAGTGTTAAGTAAATATTATTATTATTATTATTTTATCATAAATTATATTATAAGAAAATACGCGTTTTGCCGTATATTACTATATATACTCCAATCGTGTTATTGGCTGACCGTTGTTGCCTTATTAAATTTTAGTCGATATTATTGTAAGAATTGGCCTCTGAGCGTCTACAATAAATATCATTATTATTATTATCATTAATTTTAAGAACGTAAATTGTATTTCAAACTGTTTATCATTGAAACGGTTTCTCGGATCCGTTGTGTATCGTTAGAGTAGTTTTAGTATTTTAGGCGAGTTTAGTGGTATATCATAGTTGTTGGTATCGTCAGTAGTGTAATGGACGAGACCGAGTCGGTACCCAAAAATGAGAGACTGCGTTGGCGTTTCTTCTTTTCGATACCGACTCGATCTCCTAAGTCGTTTTTGACGTCTACGGCATTTAAAACCCACCACCACCACNATATTTAAACACTTATCTTAATAAAACTTTCCATCATTCCAATAGGTAATCCATTTTGTTGTACCCTCGTTATCGACGTATACACATCGTTTCAAATCATTACGCGATGCCTCTTGCAGTAGAAAAGTGACAAAAGAATACTGTGCGCGTTCGCAAGAGGACAACGATTTAGGGCTGATCAGATTCAAGACGTCGGTATATAAGTAATAAATGCGAAAGACTTGACGGCGTGTAAATGGCCGCAGTTGGGAGGTTGAGAGATTATAAGGGGGTAGGAGGTAAGTCGAAAAAGTAACGGATGAAGGGAATYCTTAGTGTGCCTGTATATATATATAATTGAGTAGGCCAAACTTGGAGAACATAAGGCGCGAGAAATTTAATTAAGACGATCCGCTGCCGCCGACTGGCGCGTTGTCCAAAACGCTGTCGGAGAGTTTTCGGGGTCCAAAAGTTTTCGTCTTCATCAAAAACGACCCGGACCCTGTACTGGAGTACTTCTCTCCTATTCTCCCATTCCCTTACTGTAATTTCCTATATAGCTTTCTCTTTCTCATTCCATCCTCAGCGTTCGTATTCTTACGCGTCAAAATGATTATCGGACTATATTAAAAGTTCCTGATGAATTGAAAAGCTCCAACGACGATGCTTTTAATAGCTAATTTATTTCTCTTCAAACGAGTCGCGTCGATTTAAAGATGAAAAATAAAAACTAAATTATAAAAAGCGGACGAAACATCGTGACAGCAGCCGTCGGCCGTCTTCCGTCGCCTTCATTTATCCATGCGAGCGCTACCAACTCAATACTGGTGCCCGATGAGTTGCATCTGACGGTTATTTAAGGTAAACGTATTTGTTCTCAAAACTGATCGTTTTTTTTTTTTTTTTTTTGTTCTGTGTGTTCCTCTCTCGGTACGCTCGCCCGAGAACGTCTCGAGTTCGCGTTTACTTGCCCATCACCATCGGGCAAGTAAACGCCCACTCGACAGTCTCGCGGGTTTAAAGTTTTTTTTTTTTTTCGTTCGTTCTGCATTAACTTTTACTTCTTTTACGGGAATCTCTGGATTGGTCGGAAATATTATTCGGCAAAAGAATCTTTCGACTCGCGTCCGCACTGTCTCGCCATATGCAATTTCGACCGTGTCGGCTGCAACGTCGATCGCCGGATTGACACGCAACCAAACGTACACACGCGCTCATAGGTTTCTCGAGCCCTGTGTAGGTTAGGTTAGATCAAATGACCGCGTAAAAAAACGTCCATGTCCCGGAGAATTAAATCTGAACTAATAAAATAACTTGTACAGACACACCCTAACCCACCCCATTATATATATACTATTGGTTTGCTTAGTTTTAAGTGTGTTACTCACTATACCTAAATAACAATTTTTTTTTTGACACCAGAAGCGGTACCGCGTGCGGTTTCGTTGTTTTTGAAATTTGCAAGTCTGACGTGACTGCACCAACGTATATATATATATTACTGTAAAATTTCTGTAAAAAGAAATCATAAAATAATTTACCATCAATAATAATATTATTACTACATATAAACGTGGTTGTTATCCTATAGCTGACATTAATGTATATTATGATTTWTTGAATTATATACTTCTAGAAATGTTTAATTATGTATTAGTAATACTAGATTTTATTGATATACATAATATGCATGTATATGTGTGTGAGTGTGTGAGTGTATGCCATGTACTATATTATATTATATTATAAAGCACTKTTTTATTCATTATTATATTTATTATTATTCGTCAATTTCGGGATGCACTATTATTATTAACTGTGCATTAAAAAAATTAAACTAAAAAATAATGAAAAAAAAAATTAATTTTAAATAAAAAAATCTAGTCGAGCGAGAGATGTATTTTAATGAAATAATTTAATATAATAATAGTGCAAAAAATATATGTACTGAGCCCTCGACGTTTTTGGCCATAATAATACCTAATATCGTATYGATAACAAACGTGGTTAGATATAGTTTTTAGTTATGTAAGGCACATCCCTTTTCTTCCTCTCTGTACATTCCTCTTTGTTCCAAAACCATCATAATATTATTATAAAGGTTTATAACTTTTTAACCAATAATTATTATTTACTTATATTTAGATACATTTTTTTTCCAGACTGTAAACATTTTTTTTCATCTCATTTTTCTTTTTATGTATATACCTACATGATATTTTTATAATATTATAACGTGTGTAAGTTGACATATTTTATCTTTTTTTTTTTCGTGGTTATTATTTTATGCAAGTGATACTAGTCGTTATATACATATTGGTTAAAGTTTGTCCCATTATTATTATTATTATTATTATATACCATTATTAAACAGTCGCCAACATTATTTTATTTATATAGACTWAACGCGAATGTATACCTTAATTATAATTTCTTATGTATAGTAATATAGACAGTGCTAAAGCAATATTAATCATTACCTATATTTAAATTAATTTATTATATTATTTATCTCGTAGTTCTATTGTGTGTTTGAACTCCGATTATTATAATAATATAAGCAAAAAAGCAATAATTTAAAAAGAAATCGTATATGATATTGTATTTATTATTAATTTATAAAAGTTTGTTTTTGAGAAGTAAAATAAACTTCAGTGTGAGTGAATTTTGTTGCGTTGTTATTTATCATTAATCCCCGAAAATATATTGTTACATAGTGTTATAAGGGATTGTCCAATGAACCATTTTCTCATTCTTTCCATGAACGTCTAATTCACAACATTATTTTTATTATAATACAACAATAATTATTGTCACAGCARTGAAATGTCACGTCGTGCTGTTCTCGCGTTCGGATGGTTTGACGAGGTAAGTATTTGATGGTAACTGGTAAGTATAAGTGGTGTAAACGTGTCGTAGAAAATACAGTCACAGTGTAGGCATAAAAAAAATTCCAAGAACAACTATACTGTCAACTACTGCATCATCTACGCCAGATAAACGAATGTATATGCACATTTCCTCGGAGTTTCATATTATTATGATGATTTCATCAAACAAAAAAAAAAAAATAAAAAAGTTAACGCGTCGTGAAAAAACGAATAATAATTTACATCATTACTATTATAAATAACCGATTCGAATACATCAATATAGCGAGTCATACGATACCAGCTATACACACCAACATTTGCGACGGTTGCGAAATGTTTTGAAAATGTGATGTTCACGGTTATATATACACATAAGACATAACTATAAAATATCATATTGAAAATATTGGTATAATGCAATAAAAAAATAWATTGTCTGTTTCTCGCGGGACTCGTCCTACCATAATAAATATCTTATTAAATCACTAATATTTACACCGTCGTATAATATGATGGCATTTTCTAACACTCCCACGTTAAATGTCAAAAACGTATAATATTTTATTGCCGATGGGTAATAGATTATTCAATTATAAAATATTATAATATTATATATTATACAATAGATTATTCTAATGTATTTTTCAATTGGATTCGGAAAAAAATTAAAAGCGAGTAACTATATAGGTATTATACTATGTATGAAAACGGCAAATTTGTTTTTATACGAATAGGCGAAAAAAAATTATTTTCATACATTTTTATGAATTTATTTTTATTAGTAAACGCCGAACGTCAATTTTAAACACAAATATTACATACTATTACAGCTGAAAGTAAATTTTATACAAATATATGTAATCAATAAAAATAAAAAAGCGGGTAAGTCGTGGATGTCGCTCTGCTGTACAGTGTAGGTTACAAGTGGGTTACTGTAATGGATGGAAATAAATTTGAAACCAATGATAATATATTATTTCATACGAAAAACGATTCTGAGCGGAGACGGTTTATCTGTGTAGGATATATTATATAGATTATTTAAAATTTTCAAATCTTAGATTTAAAAAAATTTTTTTTTACTAATTTCTAGCTTAAAATAATTTGCGAATTTTCGTCATTTTTACGTATGTTGTCAAAATTCAAACTTTAAATACTTATAAAAAAAATGGTGACTATGTACTATGTAGAATTCTTTACTTTTGACCCCCCCCTCCCAAAGTATCAACTATATTCACTTTCTGATCGAACGAGGTACTAAAGTCGAAAATCGAAGCGTTTTTACTGCCCCAAAACGTGGTGACACAAAATCTTATCTCTAATCAAAATCCTCGCTCAGCCCAGAATCTAAAAAAGTATAAGATAAAACCAATGATTATATGATTATATATATATTAAATGATGCAACTTCCATATTATTATAAAAAATTATACCAACTATAATGATAAGTTTAACTAGATTATAGTAGAGGTACAAGTATAGCGCGTACTTGTAACGTACTTATAATTTAAATACATTAAAATAACAATCATGTCTATTGACTATTTATATGACAAATTATTTTACGTGAGATTTAACATTTTGTTACCAACTGTAAAAGGTAGTGAATACGTTCGTGAATAAGATAATTAATTTCTAGAGTTAAAGGAAACGACTTGAAAAWTATTAGTTTGTAGGTATTGTTGGAGAGAAGATYATGTGTGTCTTAGGTTCAATCGACACGGGTATGATAAATTGCAATAATGCAAATCATCAGCATCTTGTGTCGATGAGACAGACCTTAGCAATAACTATATTTTCCAGAACCGTTTTTTGCTTTTACTGAAATTATTTTGAAAAGTAGGAATTTTTAAATGTTGAATCCCCAGAGACACGAAATCACTCTCAGAGTTTGAAATATTTTTAACGCCCAAAAGAATAATATGCAAACAGGAAAAAATATGTTGTAATTAGTTCTTCCACTCAGATTCTAAAATTTAACAGCATCGAGTTGAAATGCTGTTTTCACTGGCATCTCTGTACGTATTAGTTATATTATAATACCATTGGTTATAAATACTACAATATCATAATATTTATATTCAATGATAATACCTAACAATATATTAATGTAAGGTGTAGTCTGGTAACCTACTTAAAA